AAGAAAATGGAAGCTACTATAGGTTTTTAGGGTTTAGGGTTTAGGGTTTAGGGGTTAACCCTAAACCAGTCAAAGCCTCAGCCCCAAGCCCACAATCTGAATCTTCAACTCTGCACATCTTCACACTGGAAGGCCGACTTATTATGGTAGTTTCCATTTTCTTTTCCAGTATCCCTATAGAACCCCAATATAACCCCAGTATCGTATGGGCCTTAGAATGCCTTTAAGCAAGAGCTTCACAGGCACGGCCCCACCCGCATTTCATCATCATGGATTTGGAGATGGTGCAGCAGATGGAGTGCACAGTGGCTCGCCTCAGGGATTCCTTCAGAGGGGATAGCGGGGTTAGAGAGGGACTCAAACTCCCTTAAGGGGAGTTATATAAGGGAGTATATAAGACTACTATAGGGGGTAGTTAGAGAGGGACATATACCCCAATAATGGAGAATCAAATGGAAAAGCAAATGGAAAATGACATGGAAACTGCTGTATATATAAGGTCATATAAGGATTGTATGAGCCATAGTCTAAACTCCTTTAAGGGAGGTTGGTAGTAGGGATTAAAAATAGAACTACTTTGGGGGGTATTAAGGGGGATACTAGGAGTTTAGATAATGGCTCAGAAAGGGATTTGTGGATATGCGCTGGCCCTCCCCTCCCTGTGGTGTGATTGCTTCGGTCTTGGGTTAGGAACTTAGGGCTTCTGTGGAGCCGGGGCCCAGGGGGGGAAACAATCCGCACAACCTGGGTTGTATGAGTCCTTGCTGTGTTGTGATTGGTACTTTCCGTAGGTATCCTCATTCTGATCTGACCATCTTAATCATGCGCTCTTGAATGTGATCAGCATTAAGTATCTTTCTTCTATTCTCCTCTTCATCTCTACAGCAACAACTAATGGCATTCCATGTTCTCTTTGCTGCCCCCCGCCCCTAAACCCAAATCCCTAAACCCTGATCCCTAATCCCTAAACCCGAATCCCTAAACCCTAATCCCAATTGCTCGTTGGGGTCGCTGCTTTCCCCTGGCCTCTCTGGTGTCTGAGGCTGTTAGTGCCTTTCAGGAGATCCTGTGCCTTGGCAATGAGCTGGCCTTAACTCCCTAAAGCCCTAAATCCCTAAACCCTCCTAAATCCTAAATCCCGAACCCCTCCTAAATCCCTAAATCCCTAAAACCTAAAGCCCTAAGCCCTAAACCCTAAATCCCTAAACCGGCCAGAAGCTGAAGAATCAGCTCAGACCATGATGTGGCATTCTTGTGGAAAGGTGGCCTATAGTCCCCGAATCTGGGGTATATGGGTTTAGGGTTTAGGGTTTAGGATTTAGGGTTCAGGATTTAGGGTTTAGGGTTTAGGGTTAGTGTCCCCCTTAATTAGATATGGGGATCGTATTAAAATATACCCAAAGCCATATTCTATCTACTTAAGGGGGATTATATGTCGTTATTATGAAGAGCCCGACGCAACATTGCTCAATTCAAGGAGCGTTGCGAAAGATCTGGGATGCACCCTGGTCCTGGCTCACGTGGAGCCTTTTCTGATTCTGCAAATGCGGAATTTCGGTCTCCCACTAGCTGAACTTCATCCGAACAAGGCGCAAAAATGGAGGTTTTTCCCTAAGGCGTTATATTGGGATAATGGAAAAGAAAATGGAAACTACTAAATGGAAACTACCATAGTATAGGGTTTAGGGTTTAGGGTTTAGGGTTGGGGTTATATCGCGATAATGGAAAACCACATGGAAACTAGTGTAGTATTTTGGGGATATTTGGCGATAATGGAAAAGAACATGGAAACTACTATAGTATAATCGGGTGGGAGTGTGAGCAAATCTTTCGGAACAAGAGGTTTTTGTTGGTGAGGGGTTGGGGATCTGGACCTAGGTCTCGGGTTGTGCTTCCTCCAGGTAGAAGCATAGTGGTCCGGATTCTGGAGGTTTGGCTATCTTTTGGCCACTCTCATGTTGAGATCTGTAAGGTAAGGTAAAAGTCTGGGGAGGAGCATCATGCTAGCAGCTTAGGCATGAGGGGTCCCCCCTATTATACTGTAGTAGTTTCCATTCACTTTTCCATTATCCCAATATTACCCCAACCCCAAACCCTAACCCTAAACCCTAAACTATAGTAGCTTCGATTTTCTTTTCCATTATCCCAATATTACCCCTAGTCTCCATTTCTGCTTGCCACAAGGCTCCAGAGGAGCAAACCCTGCTGG